CTCTGCGATCCTCGGGAAGGAACGCGAGGCTCTGGGATAATCCGTTTCAGGGAGGAATCTGATTGGCCGTTGAAATGGAATGCGTAGTTCAATCTTAGCCAGGATTCCTGGCTTCCGGCAACGGATTATCCCATAGCCTCGCGTTCCTTCCCGAAAATCGCAGGCTCGGGGAACGAGATTGCTTCCACAGTCCCTTTTTACAGCGGGCGACTGGGGACGAGTCAGAGTTTGTTCTAAAATTGGCTCAGGTTTCTTCAGTATATCGTCTGAGATCAGTGTTAATCTGTCAAAAATCCCCACCCTCGGGCCACTTAGAAAAAAAGTTGTCAGTCCAAATCCCGACCCATGGGACCACCTGATTGATCAAATCCCCACCCTTTGCCCGACCCCCGCCCCCTCGGGGTTAACATTGATAGGTGCATTAGATCAAAGTTATTGATAGGAGAGAGCGAGTATTTGATTTTACTGGCGATTGATGTAAAGTGAATATTGAAAGCTTCGGCTATTTCACAACTATTCCTTAACACTTTATTGCATTCACCAATGAGGAATTCTCGCAGGCGCGATGGCTTACTATTACCACCAAGAGATTTAATCAATTTGCAAATGGACTTTACGTTGCCTTTGTTATTTTGAATGGAAGATTTGAACTAATAATTTCTTTTAGCTTTTTCGATCATGTTTGAAGCTAAATTTCTTGCGATACGGTATTGTTTCCATGCATTGGTTGAATTAGTTCCAGATTTTCTAGCTTTTGAAACCAGGTTATCTCTAATCTTTAACTGATTAAGGATGTCACCATTAATCCAAAGAAACACAAAGAAAAACACACTAATTCAACACGCAAGAAAGGCCAGAGTGCGACACAACGTAAAATCCATAGGAAACCGGCACAATTCTTTGAAAATTCAACGAAACTGCATGTGTGAAATATATATTAGATCGCTCAGTGAAAAGCCGCCATTTTGAAACTGAACTGATATGTCACTGGAGCCACTGATCTGAAATAAGGCTGGATAACGCATCTATGTCTATAGTTAGCCTGCGTAGCAGGCGTTTAGTGCGTGCGGGAGAAGAAAGGGCGTCGTTTGAGGAAACGCCTGCCCAAATGGCTATGACAAATTAGTTTTCACCCATTGAGGATGATTGACGTTTTGTAATTAGCAGCGTCACCCATTATCCAATCATAGACGAGATTTATATTGAGCATCTGCATGCCGTTTCTGCACTGGCCGTTTGCTCGGCAACTAGGGAGATTTGGCTGATTTGCAGAGATTTTATGTACTATTTAAAACATGAGCAGCAGTGTTTTATCAGAAATAAAGATGGTCTGATGAAACTTTAATTCTA